TTTATAATCTTTTATTTATCCACTACTGATTTAATATGTAATGCATTCCTTAGCAAGGCACAGCATTAAGCACAGCATTTTATGTTCAGTCACATAAACTCAGGTAAGTTTATAGTAGGAGGAAATCTTTATCTGTTAAGTGCTCTAACTACTTTAGATGCAAACTAAATTAAAAGTAGCATGCAATGGCATAGCATTTTACTACAGTTACTCTGACCATGATTTCAGTATATATGAAGACTTTACAATCCATAAAAACTCATCACAACTTACCAAACCACCTCATTTACATAATTCTCAAGCTGCCATACTTCCATGACAGTGACCTTGTATGTAACCCTTACATCACTGTATCTTTGCAGAATGGTATCTTCCTTGTAAAACAGATGGGTTAAAAATGTTGTGGCTATACTTTTTGATGGTGTTGCTGAGTTTGTGGACTCATATCCGCCCTGTATAATTTGGTGATCTTCGTCTTTCCCTGTTAGCTGTCATACCTAGATAGTTTGAGACCCTACGTGTAATGTAGTCTGTTTCCAGGTGGGCTCTCTGATTTGCGTAGGTCATTTTTTTTAATGGGAAAGTTTGTATTTCTCCAGTTTTTTAATTCTCATACTTCTAATTTTGGGTGGAGACCATGACAGGAGGCTCCATAGACTTTTCTGAGCTTAACTAATCACGACATTTTAATCCTATATAAAATTATATTTTTGTTTCTTGTCCTTGGATAGAAATAATGAAAGATTTCTCATTGTAGAAAACGTTTTTCTCCTGGCATTTTTGGCATCAATGTTTTCAGCAAAAGTGCCTTTTCTTTGACTTGACTATCATTAAATGGAACTGGAATGTGATTCAAGGGTATGCTGCTGAGTCTTAATCTTTGGACACTTCATATCTGACAGGCTTCAGCGTCTGTGGTTTAGACTATTGTTCAAAGAGCTAAAGAAATGTGTTTAACACTCTGTGGATTTCAGACAAGAATGTTTACTTAAGTTTATTTTCTTCCACTTCTTACTGCATGTGGTCTTTCATGTGAGAGTGTGTGTGTGTGTGTGTGTGTGTGTGTGTAAATAAAAATAATGTATGTCAGTGTCTATCACACCTTTGCATTACCTGTAATACAAGAAGATTATGTCTGCATTATCACACAATAGGTAAGATATGCTCAATGGAAATACATTTTTGCTTTTTATAACAAGGCTTTCATGTAGGTTTTTTAGCACATAGGGAAGTCAAAGGGGATAGTTTACTTCTTAATGAATCTCTACAGAGATTCAGATCATGGACTTTTTAAAAGGCATTTGAGCCTAACACTTGTGTTCATTACACTTTTTAACAAGGAGACAGTAAAAGATTTGTAAAGCCCCCTGTTCAGTAAAACACTGCTTTACTAGATGTAAGTGCACACAATTACTTTGCTAAATTAGGTCCTAAAATGTGAAAACTGAGACTCTTATTAGGGATTCTTTAGTCAGTGTAATACAAAAAGACCTGAAAACAAGTGCTTTGTTTGGCTGGGTCATTCTTGCTCATAGGCTTGAGGTCTAATTGGTCGCCATATGAAGGACTGGGAAGAAAATTTCCAGAAAGACAGATTGGCAGCGACTTTAGGAATTTTTCACCTTTTCCTGAAAAGTGGAATTAGAGTTGCTTGCCAGCATGCTTGCCAACAGCACATTTCCCCACCTAATTCTGTGTCATCACAGAGACTTCATTGTACTTTTGTTCCCACCCTCACCCCATATCTCACTTGTAACACACAGCAATTTAATCTCCTGGGGGGATTGTATTGGTTTAGTCTAATTTCAATGGTTACATTAGTGTGTGGATAGCTGGCTGATGTTGGAGACCTGTGTATACAATAGGTCAGACTAGATCAGTGGTTCTCAAACTTTTTAGCTAATGGAAACTCTCCATTAATTATGTAATTACACCCGAGTCATTTTGCTAGTGCAGCGGCTAGGGAGAGCAGTTTAATTTAACCAGTAAGAAAGGAAATATTAAATTAAGCGCTTTAACTTTCTTATGCTAGTTTATCAAATTTCATTTTAAATAAAGTAAAATATAATTTATGTCTTACACAAAAGGTTTCAATCTTTTCTTTATGGCAGGGATGGGGAACCTTTCTTGGACAGGGGGCCACTGACCCACAGAAAAATCAATTGGGGACCACACAAGTGAGAAGCAAAAAACCCTCTCAGG